TGTACTGACATTTGGGAGGGATAGGAAGAGGAATAAACACACCTTGTGTTGCCATATTCCCTCTCTATTCTCTGCACTCATGTAGTCTCAGCTGCATTTCTTGTATCCTAGCTCATCTAGAAAGGGCATGGGAAAGAAGAAGGAGAGTGGAAAAAGTCTCTGCTGGGAAAAGTCCAATATAGAAAAAAATACTGTTATAAACTCAGCTAATATTTAGCAATTTATCATCAGACATTTTGGGCTTATAAAATCTCATAATAAACTGATAAAGCAGGTATCTCTAGTATTCCACTGTGAAAAGAACCACACATAAAATGCGAAGGAAAAAAGAAGAGGAGGAAAAAGAGTATGACTGCCAGCAGTGTGGTAAATCTTGCCCTTGCTAGAGAAGTGTTGCGGGCTGCTGCTCTAGGATGTGAATCCTGCTGAGTCTTCAGATCACACGGTGATTTAATATAGTGATGGACTTCAGTAAATCCTTGGGGAAACTAGAAATGAGAAAGCTCAGCAGCCCCGCTTCGCAGCAGAGCCTCCAGATCCAAGCATAAGTGCACGCTGAATACTACCCGTGCTGGTGGGTGCTGATTCAAAGCTGCTGGATTTTTTCAGCATTTCATTGCACAGCTATTAAACTTGTAGGCCGTCATAGATTTTAAGCAAAGCTTTGAGGAAGATAAAATTTAGATTCAGAACAAACAATCAAATCTCTGTTTACGTCAGGGAAGTGACAAGCAGTTAGAGTCATACCAAGGGTAAACTTTGGCCTCTGTTTTTTTTGTTTTTCCTCTTAAGTATCATGTTTTAATTGAATCTTTCCTAGGATGATTGTATTAATACTGGGGGGTTTGTTACAGAGACACTGAAGAAAAAGCTTGAAAGATTGAAAACCTGCCTAAAGATACTGTTAAAATATGTTATACTGAGGGAAAAAAGGGGAGATACAGATAGAACAGTTCTCCAAGTTTATATATTTGGGAAAGAAAATAGGGTTATCTCATGCTAGGTGGTGAGCAGTTGAAAACTAAATTTTCTCTAACAGCAAAGGAAGCATTTAAAAGGAAAACCAACTTTTCCCCAATTCAATAAAAATATCATCATAAATTTTAAGATAGACATGAATGTGATTGCCTATGGCTAGGTTTGGTGAGACACTAAGCTGGGCAGCGCCCCTGCTTGCAGAGCAGCTCAGAGGGGTCTCTGGCAGCTGTTAGATGCTCAGTGGGGGGCTGGTATCTCTTTGCACTGTGTTGGGATATTGCTACAGTGGAAGCCGTCACTTTGCAAAACACTCAGGTGAGTGGCTAAGTCTCAGCTTCAGTATTTGCTTAAAATCAAGGTCTGCTAGGTTTGGAAGGTTTGACTTTCGAGTGTATTTCTGAAAACCTGGCCACCAGCTCACTGCCCACCAGGTGTTTCACAACTCCTTCTACTCCTCTCTGCCGCTTGCTGACCCCCACACACTGTCCTCAGGTTAAGGAAGCAGGTGCCCATTCACTCCTTGATGCAAACAAATCTCCCCTTGGTAACAGCAGCCATAAAACTCCTCCCGCCCCCTTGGTGCTGGGTGGGTGGCCGCACCTCGCAGTCCTCGTCACAGCACGTGTCTGCACAACATAATGACTGCGGCGAGGGCTGCCACCACCACCTCCTCCTCCTCCTGCGTGCCAGCCAGCCCAGGACTGGGAGAGTCACATCAAACCCTGGGTTTAGGCTGGAAACTTGCCTTTTGAAATGAAAACCTGAGAGACGCCCACTTGCAAGCTCTGGGCAGTGAAAGGTCCACACAGTTCCACGCTGAGTTGAGATGCGGTTTTTATAAAAGCCTCACAGTCCCCCCGCTGCAAAACCAGTACTGCCCATCTGACCCAAACTTCTAGGATTTATTTACCGTAATTTAAAATAACCATGTCCCTGCTGGGGGCATCAGAGTCTCTGGGCTCCTGTGCAGGAGGCAGAGGCTACTGGTGCTTACACCCACTGTCACCTCCACCCCCGGTACATCTGACCCGCACCTCAGGTTGCTTTCTGCTTCCCTCCAAAGTCGTCTCACGCAGATGACCTTCCTCCCCACACACTGCCTGAATCTCTTTGGCAGCTCTCCCACAGCAAAGCATCTAGCTCTTCCCCAGGCGACACTGGGAAGCTGTCCAGGGACGACTCCGGCAGCTGTGGCAGGATCTGGTATTACAGAAACTACTCCTGCCAGCCACCATAACAGGATTCAACGCTATGTTTCTGCTGAATTGATAAGCCAAAAGATAGATTCCTCTATAAAAGTACTTTTTATTAATAGTGCTGCAGCTTGGGCTGGTGCCTCCAAAGAGGGACCCTGAACAAAGAAATTTGGGCAATTATACCCTTACAATTTAAATTCCCCACCCTTATGCGCAGTTTGGACCCATAGTAATATTGGGTTCTGGGGTCTTCCTGTTCTTCACTGGGTCCTTTCATTGTCTCTAGGCAGGCCATTCCTTTTCTCATCTCTAAGGTTGCAGCTTCTGTTAATGAATTCAGCTTCCTTACCTTCTGGCTTTAACCAGCGCCGGGGCGTTCTTTTACTTGACTAGGTAAAAGTTCAACATACATAGGTGAAAGTTCACAGCTTGCAGCCTAAGGCTTCAGCAAATTTAGCTACTAATGCTAAGCAAGTTATGCTAAACAAGTTCTATATAAGTAGTATGACAAATCACACAACTCTGACCAAGGACCTGGCTCCTTCTCACAAGCTGGCACTCCAGCCCTGCACCCCATGCTGCGCAAGAAACACCCCCAAAGGCACAGCAGTGGTGTGCTGCCTTCCCCAGGTCTTGGGCACTTACTGGAAAGACATACAAATTCTTAAAATAACCTTAGAAAACAGCAAAAATGTGGCAGACCTGAAAAATGGCTGCATGAAGTCAGAAGGGGAGGGAGGACCTTGCTTCAAGATGCAGGGCTGGCAAGGAGAGACCTTATCAGCGTTCAGTGTCTTTCTGTCTCCCTTAAGTGATGTATGCTGCACCCCTGGTCACTTCTTACTGTTTCCAGATGTTTGGCGCACCCAGTGGAAACACTCTTCATGACCTCAGATGTCACAGATCAGTCACACAAATCTCTGACATGGTGGAGCTACCTTTTTTAGTCATTTTTCGCTAGAAAATTGGCTGCTAAGGTTTGGGATGGGACTACTCCACGTTTCTGGTTTGTCAGAATACATTATCTGCTTGAATTTTGCCAGAGGGAATGTGTTTATACTTGCCGGCATGTTTCAAACTAACATTGCCGTTGTGTGGGTATTTATACACCAGTGGCTTTATGCTGTGCTCAACTAGTGAAGTATGGCATACAAACATTAGGATTAAAAAAATCCACCCTCACCTGAGTGCAGCTGGATGCAGCGGAGCCATGCCAGTGGGCCACAGCTGGGGATCTGACTTATGGCATCCATAATTTATATAGAGACTGTAGGATCCCACCTCTGAATGTGTGTAGCTTATAGATGCTATAGGGCATACATATAACAGTTGAGCCTTTAAAGGTATTGATTTTCACTCCTGCCATTGCTGTTGCAACATGACAGCATGAATCTGAGACACCCTGAACCTGTTTAATAATTGACTAGATATGTCACAGCCCACAATAAATATTTATTTGTCACTTCCCAGCGGGCATTTAGTTTAAAAAATACATGTATCATCCATGTCTGTTCTTTTCTAGGGCCAGTTCCTTACTAATGCTCCCTACATAAGAAGGCAGATGCCCTTGACTAAAAGATGCTCACACTCGTGTTTGTGTGTAACTGATTTGGTTTCCTGATGGATGGTGGTAGGGGGTGTTTTACAACCAGTATGCAAGTCTGGGTGGTGGGGGAGCCCCAGAGCCACTGGGCAGCAGAGCTGTGTTTGCTGTGGCTGTCCTGCAGCCAGTTGTCACGGGCCAGCTCAAGCACTTGCTGATGGTTCAGGTGATGCATAACGTTTTAGACTTGAGTAACAAATGTTTCATTTCCATTTTTGCTAACTCTTTGAATTTATGAGCCTCATGACTTAAGTCTGCTGGTACGTCAGGGAATCAAAATAGTCACGGTGTACTCACCCTCCCATCCAGGTTGTGGCATGAGCATCTGTCCTTTACAGCCCAAAGAGTTACTCTGCAGCATTTAACTCACCATCCAGTCAATGGCATCTATGACTTTATTCTGCCTTGACTATGAAATTATGGCTTTACAGATGAAAAAAAGAGACACAAACAGGCTACTGCTCTGAAAATACATTTTAAATGACAGATGTTCTGTCCTCAGGCTTGGGACATACACAGTTTGGAAATATTTTTTAATTTTGGAACCTTAATAAGCATATTTATATTTTGCTTCCAAAAAGCAAAAGGAAGAAAAGAAGAAAATCATTTGTTTTATTTTTGCTTGTATTTTTCTGTTGTCTATGTGAACAAAAGAATAAAAAGAGCTGTTACCTTTTCACAAGTTGCTGAAAAAAGAAGAAAAACTAGAATCTGTAGAAGACTTCAGATTGAATATAAATAAAGGAAAAATACATGTGGTGCTTTACTGATGTTACTTGTACATGTTACCCAGATTCTGTAATTATCACAAAGACAGTTTGTCTGTGGTCCTAAATAGGCAGAGAGAGAGAGTCAAAGCCCACCTCCTCTGGTGCATGCTTTTAGAAGCTTTTAGAAGCATCTGAGAATCCCATCAATCCACAGAGGCTAGCTGGTTAACTAACCCATAATGTACTATTGTCTTATAAAAGTAGAAATATTCTATGGAATTATTATACCCAGACTAATAAGCTTCATCCTATGGTATATTTTTCTATTTTATGTACATTTATGTATAGACATGTATTGTCTACATATTTATATGTAAAAGCATACAGATCATGTATTATTTTATATTTTTGTATTTTAGTAACTTGCCTGTATGTATGTATACGCTTCAATATATAGATATTGAAGTACCATTATTTTGTTAATATGACTGAAACTTTTTTTACCTCCTTTAGTGACTGTCACATGAGTTCCTCAAGGATAATGGACCCTAAGATGCGAGAGACCGAAGGCGATGGAGAGGACAGTTCAGGTAGAATTGCTCCCTTCCCCAGTGAATGAAAAGCACTGTGACTTCTTCAGCTTCAGTGCCTTAGCTCTATCACAGAAGTGAATCTGTCTGTTGAGAGAATGCTTTCTCCCTTTCTCTCCTCCTGTCTCCAAGAGCTGTTATATTTTTTACATTTTCAGAGGCTTGAAATAAGATTTGTGTAAAATACCATTTTGTGACCAAGTTTTTTACCCAACGAAGTCCAATGATAAGTGAAATGCTGACAGGGATGCCTTGCAGTGCTGTCATGCCAACACCTATGGGACAGGCATAAGTATTTGGGATGTCTTGTGCAAAACGCTGATTTCGATTTTAGTTTCCTTCACAGAGCTTGCAAGTGATCCTAATTCAGGTCTGCCCTCACTGAGCAGACTAGCATTGCTTTTCAAGATTATTGCTTGATTTCTAGTTTAATACTTTGTGATCCACTGAGTCTCATAATTAGCATTCAAAATATTCTGGGATATATTATAAAACTGACATTTTAAAAGCATTAGCCTCCCGACACTGTACATTCCACCTATGTAAGCCTTTTCTGCATTTAAATTGGTTTTGGTAACATTGTCCTTATCATCACTATTTAGCTTGCTGAACAAAGGCAGTAGGTTTCCAAGTTGTAATTTCTTCTCTGTATCCTAGGCTGTTAATACCAAAGTTTTTCTTCACAGTCTAATTATCTCAAGAGGCAAGTAGAAACTCTATTAGGAAAGATTCTACACCGTAGGTTATTTCTTATGTTCCATAAACATTGCAATCCATTCTCCAAGGTAATAGTAATTTCATGCTATCAGTATAGTCTTGAAAGACATTAATGCAAGAGCAGACTGTGTTGTGTTTTCAAGGAAAGAAATCCACTTACACAGAAATTATAAAGGAATTATTATTGTTCCAAAAACTTGCACATGCTGCTGGTTGCATCTTCTGTATGTTTCTTCACTTAGGAAAGAAAAAATCAAAGTTCAAATCTTTCAAAAAGTTTTTTGGCAAAAAGAAAAGGAAGGAGACATCATCTTCTGGGAGCAGCAATCTGAAGTTGTTCCAGTCAACAAGTGATGTCACAGCCTCTCATGACATGCACGTTAATTATGATTCTGAAGATGAACTTGAGTAAGTCTTTGGAGTCTGGCTGGTAAACAAATACAGAACTCCTGCAGTACAAGGAGTTCTCTGCTTTGTAGATTAAAGACACCCCAAAAGTGCCTCCTCCTTTTGTTCAGAATTGTATTCTCAAACAGTTGCCTTTTTCAGGAAAGTACAGATTAAAATGGCTGATGAAAGACAAATCACAAGGGAATTGAACGGGGTGCAGCAAGAAGTAGTAACTAAAAGAGCTTTCATTTAATCATAAATAAGCCTTGGCTTTTCATTTCAAAAAAAAAGTAATTCCCATTTTCAAAAATGGATTAGGTACTCATATCTTACCAGGATTGTCTTATGCCCCTAAGATGTAACTCTTAAGGATTGTTAAGGAAATTTAGATGCCTAACCGTTTACACCAGGTTTTGAAAGTAAGGACAGGATAAAGGGATGACTGCAATGGCAATCAGCAGAAACCAGAGGCTATGAAGCCTTTATACATGGAATTCATCTGACCAAAGGACAAATGTCTGCATCTGAGTTAGTCACCAGCTGCCTTTTATGATCAGCAGAGAGAAGTCGACATTACTAAGAAAGCTTGTATCGGTCTTGGGTACATCTGAAGTTGTTCAGATGAAACAGGTTCTAGAAGTGCCTATTCCTCCCCACTGAATGTAAACGGGAGCCAGGGGTGCCCAGCTCTGATGTAGATGCCTGAGTTAGACCAGATGAATCCCAGCCTGTGTATCTGCCTGCCTCTGAAAATCCTGTCTTCATTCAGGCATTGCCAAAAATCTTACCCACTACTGAAAAGTAACCATGAGAAAGCCGGTCTAAAGTTCAAACGTGTTTTCCTGGATGGAGAGATGGACTGAAGAGCCCCTTGGCTGCCTAAAATTGCATTGGTGGGCACTGCGCCTCTCAGAACAAGCTTCCTGGTCCTCAGGCGAGAAATGCTGCCGTGCCCTGGGACGGAGAAGGCAAACCATCCCGGCCATTTAAAACGACGTTATACAACGCGGCCACCAGGCAGCGCCAAACAACCAAAAGAAATTATTAACATTTTTTTTTGGTCTTTTGTGGTGTTGGCAACAGTAATATTAGTCCAGCTTGAAGCCTCAGGAGTCCCGGGCTGGCAGCACCACGTCTAAGAGTGGGCTATAGCGTTGCTGTTCAACAGAATATTTTTAAGCTGTGGATGGTCAGATTTTCTCTCCTTCATGGACGATTCAACAAAGTCATGTCCAAGTGGGTACTATCTCTGGCTGTTTCAGCCATGTTCCTGTGCCATTACTTGCAGGGTTGTTACATTATTTCTTAATATTTGTGTAGGCAGACAAAGACCAGGAAATTCCTTGAAAGCAAGGAAAATTAATTTGAGCCCTCATAACCTGAGGAGACATGTAGGGTACCTCCACTACACATCTGGGAGTTATGCATCTGCTGGACAGAGAAAGCAAAAGGTGGCATGCTGGGATAAACGTGCACATGCAGCAACACTGCTTATCAGGCTGCCATTGCAGTCTTTGTAAAATGTCGGTGCGTTGAGCAGCCATCGCAGCTCTGACTGGCACTCACTTTGCAAATTGCTATAGATCTGTCTGACCTTGGTTGCATGGCAGAGATCACATTTTCACTTAGATAAATTGTTCTTCTAATGTCTCTAATACATTAAGCAGAAGCAGCAGGCTTTCCTTCCTTCTGCAGCAGGAATACAGATCAACTTTTTCCTGCTATTGTTTTATCAAACATATTTATAGCAGCCATTACGAGGAAAATGTTACTTTCTGCTATGTTTATTTATGTTCCTGAATGTCCCTATGACAGTATCTAAGTTCCAAAAATACACAGTTCTTCTCCTTTTTTTTTCCTTTTTTTTTTTTTTTTTCTTTTCCTCTAGAATGTCTGTTCAATTAACTGGATAGGTACACGAACCCAAACAGTTCTGTATTCTGTATTCTGGTTTGCCATTTCATGGCTGTCTTCTTTAAAAAAATTTATAGGAAGGGAGTCCTATAAGAAATTCCCTATACACACATTTCTGGTCCTTGCTCAGTTAGGCTATAAGCTAAGCTGAAGAAAATGAGCACAAGAGACCTCCTAGCAGCTAGCTGTCTGTCTGTGGGTCTCCTGTGCCATTTTCATGAGGAAATAAGCTGTTTGTGCCCCACATGTAACATTTGCAAAAGAAGTTACAGATCACGTGCATCAAAAGTAAGAAACAGATATGACAGAAGCTACCCACAAAGCAACTCCAGCTTCCTCTCACTAGCCCACAAAGAGGGTCCGTGAAAAAAATGTGCCGCCCAGGCTTATAAGAGAAAATCCCAGGGATCTTGATATAGAGCACAGGACCTTGTAAGCATCTTGTAAGGATTCATGCAAATTATTCTATGTGAGAACTATATTGCCTGAAATATTTTTGTTAATGAGCTTTGTGACAGAGATACATTATAAGCTGTACCATGCTTAAATAGTAAAAGGTACTTATTCTTCCTATGGTAATGGTCAGTCATTTGCAAGACATGTTCTTACGTTAGCAAGAAGTTAGTCTACCTCAGGTACAGGCTCGGTTATGTGAACTCGCTTCATTTTGCACCTGGGCTTGCCTGCAGTACTGCCACACCACCCAGCTGCTGGCTTCCAGCTTTTCCATAAGATATAATTCAATTGTTGGGGTTAAACTATCTTTAACCTTGATTCAGTTTGTTAATGTGACAAATAACAGCATTTACAAATTTTTGTTTGATTTTTAAAGGTGTTACCTAGATTAGCCTGAATGTCTGTATTGTATTCATGGAGAAGTCTGGAATCTCATGTGTGATGTGTGCTGTGCACACCTATCTCCCACTCCATGTTCAACAGACCACCTGAGTTAAGAGTAAGAGGACTGGCAAATTCTGTATGTTTTCATTAATTTGTTATATTATTTTAGGACGCATAAAGGCATTATGGGAAGCAGAGCTTTGTCACATGATAGTATTTTCATCCCTGAGACTGGGCAAGAGCCTGTAAGGCCAGTAAGAGTGTTTTCTCAAGAAAACGTTTCTGATCGGATTAGAGCATTACAGGTAATTTGCACAACATAATTTTTTCAAATGCAAGAGGTGGAATGTCTTTCCAGACTTGTTTTTTTTGGGATAATATTTGTGGTTGAACATTTGATTAGTAAGTAATATCTGTCTGAAGCTGACATTAAAAGTCTCATTTATTAATTAGACAGCACGTATTTTGGTTCTACTTAAATGATAGTTGAAAAATGGATAAGTTGTTTGACTCCCTAAGAGAACATCTACAGTGAGATGTCCTGTGCTCTGGATCATTCAGTTGTGAAGTTAAAATAAAGGTAACTCATTGACCTGAGCTAAAAAATGTACTGGGGAAACCTCCATCACTATCATATGCTAATGTAATTTTATGCCATGCTGAAGTTGAAACTCCAACCTACCATGAAATTGGGACCTCCACCTCCATTTGGACTTCATGCAAAGCGAACAGAGGATGCTGGCACCAGTTCTGAAGATGATGGATTACCCAGAAGCCCTCCAGAAATGTCTTTGCTCCATGAAAACCTAAATTCAGGCACAACAAGAGTGAGTACTTCTAGTATTGACAAAAATCATTGTTTAACATATTTTGTAAACCACTTGTTTTATGTATGTGTGGAAGGCAGAATATATTATTTGGTTTGCTATATGTATCACTACTTTATCTCTGGACAATTCAGAAATACCTTACTTGAAATGGGAAAATGCTATCTCTCTGTGTAAACAGCTACTTAGAATCTCTGTTCCTGTTAAAATATAAATACCATGCCAGAAAATGCAGAACTAGGAAGAAGAGGATGTGTTTGTGTGTGTGTATGGGGATGCTGGGTTTTTTTTAGGGACTACAGAGAGCTGCCAGGCATAAAAAAAAAAAAAAGGCTGAAAAATCTGTATTCCCCCTTGAATGTGCTGATAAGAGAGCTCTCTTCTTTAATGTTTTTCTAGGCTGTCATCAGAAAAAGAAACAGTAAAGAATTTGAAACTTATTTTTCTTTTTAAATGATAGTTTTGTTATATATGATTTCATTCTTTATCTGCATGTCTTACACTTTATGTTTGCAGTGTCCTTGCTAATCCTTAAGACTGTAGAGAAAAACAACTTACATTGTCAGTATCTGTGTGCACTTTGTGTAGATGGTTTCTGCAAGTATATCCACCTCGTTTGTCATCTTTTACTGAATCTCTTCCTCATTCCATCCCACAGTTCTCTGACTCTCACAAGCACCTTAGCTCTTTGAGTTTAGCTGGAACAGGCAGTGAAGAAGAAGAACAGGTAACTTCTGCCAAATGTATTAAGGGCCAAGCAATTATGCATAGTAGTTTTTAAAGAAATGTAAGACATAAATATTATTTTGTTGCCTGTCTGCTGCAAAAACCAACCTTGAATGTATGTAATTGCATGCCTGTCTGTTTGCAGTGCTTTTTTAATGCCTGTCCATCTAACATAAAAGTTATGATTATTTATCAACATAACTCTGATGCCAAGTAATCTCCCATTGATAATAATTAAGCCCTCTAGAATAGCTCATATCCTTTAGCAAACTTTACAGACATGATTTAATCTCCAAACAGGACCAACCAGATTTAGACACTGGAACAGTCTCCCATTTCTTAAAGATGGGAAATTGCACTAAAGGCTGCTTGCATTACACACATAGGATAAGGAAGGAATCTTGAGTCATTGGTAAAATCGTGGAGAAGAATTTCAGAGGATCTGCCTCTGAAATCTGTCCCTCCCCTTGCTTTAAGTACAAGGTTACCTCGCACTGGTACAGAAAGTGTTTGCCTGATGATGGTGGCTGACATTGCTGCTTAGGAGCCTGAAGTTCAGCCTTCAGTTGGATTCTGGCTGTGAATTTTGCTGAAGTGATGTTTTCAGGACTTGAGTACAGGCAAATAGATGGCTTTCTTCAATCAGCAGCCAGCCATTCTGGCTGATTAAAGGGTGGTTTTGAAAGGCTCTGAAGAGTCCTTTTTAGTTGTCCGCAGCTGGAGTCATGGTGGAAACAACACAGGGGGTAAAGGGAAAAGCATTTTTTAGAAATAGGGAGGGGTGGAGGGGAACTGCAGAAAGGAAATAGAGAAGCCAGTCCTGAGCTGACTATTCCTTGGTAATTATGCAAAATGTATTTCAAGGCCAGCTGCTGCAGGGCTCAGCAAAGATTTCTGGCCACGCTTGTTAGATTCCACATGAAGCTGTTTGAAAAACTGCTTATATGCAGCAAAATTTTAATATTTTTAAAGAACAACAGAACACATGAAGAAGGTATTTCTTGAAAACTGGAGTAGGCTCGCTGTAAATTTGTCCAGTCCAGATGTGTGTTTGCTAAAGAAGGATTTATGTCTCCCTGTTGTTCCATTGACATCACTCTCTGACTCACTCGCTGACTCCTGAACCACGGCAGTGACCACACGGTTGTTAAGCTTTTTCCACGTGCCCCATCATTTAGCTCAGAGCTCTCTTCATCCCAGTCCAGTTTCAGAGTGCAAACAGCCCCATCTGAAGGCTTTCCTCCCAGACCGCAGGGTCTGCAACCTGGCATCTCAGAGAGATTAGCCCTGATTCTCCAAGTCAGAGGAGACCAGCTCGCAGGGCTGAAGAGGTTTTGGGCAGCAGTGACACCTTGCTGTGTCTTGGAAGCCTTCCTGGATGAAAGAAGAGAGAAAGGGATTGTGACTGTCCCATCCAGGCTTTGAGGATGCAGCTCCCTCATGGTCCCCCACCTTGTGCCACTCAGCATGACCAGCTGAAGGACAACTGAGCCATGTGCATGTGTGATTTGGAGAAAGGGGTCTGCCAGCTGTCCTCTTCTCCAGCTGGCTTTGCCAGAGTCAGACTTCATGGGACAGGCAACTTCTGTAGCCGGCTCAGAGCTGGCATTCATTCAGGCTGCTGAAATTTAAGTAACAAACCGGATTCTTGATTTTCCAGCATAATGGCCAACACTGAGCACTGCCAACAAGAAGACATGCAAAGTTCTCGAGGAAAAGCAGAAGCCAGAAGAAAGGCAGGCAAATAATGATGTGCCTTGAAAGAGAACATGTGCTGCGTCTTTATCATGGAGCTGAAATGTCAATGTATTCACTGTTAGGTACTAATGTATAATGCAGCCACGTACCGTTTGTTGTACATTAGTCATGTTTGAGTACTAGACTGCAGATATTGTAGAGTGAAAATTAATGAGAGCATCCATTATTCAGCATGGCTGAGTTGCTTTTTTTTTCTTAAATAGAAAGCCTGATCGGAAGCTGTGGATCCAGCCTCTGCTAAAATCAATGGGAGTTTTCCCCTGGCCATTGAGGAAGCTGTAGCAGACCCTCACTACACTACAGAGTATCTTTTGGCTGCAGTGCATAATGCAGAATTTTACTTGCAGAAAACACTGATGCTTTTTCCCTCCCTAAATAAAACAAACACTATTCTGCTCTCCCCTTCTCCCATCCTAGTGCCTCAGTAAAATACCACTTCCAGAGAAAGTAGAAAGAAGAAGGAAAAAAGAAAGAAGAAAGCCTGCAGAAGAAAGCATGACAAAAGAGGAAAGCTTCTCTAATGAAATGAACTGGAATTTCAAACCTACAAAGGGAGTGCTGTCACGAGTTGTCAGAGGTCATGTTAGTGCCATGACAGATAGTTTGGAAATATGTTTTGCCTATTTCCAACAACTGAATCCAAGAGAAAGGAAGAACCCTTTTCAGAGTAATTTTTCACACATTTTTCAGTCTCCTTTTTGCATCAGCCCTGGGACTAGGGTGGTTTTTGGTGAAATGCACAGGTAAGCTGGATTCCAGCTTCATGAAAGTGCTGCACCCTTGCAGCATTCAGGAGATGTTTCTGGATGGGTTATTGGCCTCTAGTGGGAATTGTCCATTTCCTTCCTCAGAATAGTCAACAAATTAAATTTTATATTTCAGGTAAAGTCCCTAATTATTTTGCAGATATAAATACATGAGGAGAAAACACAAGCTGACTTAAGTGCCAATGACATTGATGTTTGATTCTTTCAGTCTTTAGGAGGGTGTTGTAGAGTTGGAAGTGACCTGATGACATATGGGAAGCTAGAGATGCTCCAGCCCAGCATAGCTGTGGGTAGGAACCTAGACACAGATGCTGGAGGACAGATCCAGAAAGGAAACTGGCCCTGTGGGTTCTGTAACTGAGTACTCTTCATACATCTGTCTTCTAAAACATGCTGGACATGTATTTCTGTGCTTTAGATCTTCTAGTTAAATGTAACTTCATCCTTCCTTCTGGACAATATAGCATGATATTCAAGCAGCTAAATAAGCAGAATTGTTAACAACAGTACTCCACATGCAATATTAGGAAATGCACTGTATTTTAATAAGATGTCAAAAGAAAAGGAGGCAACCTTAAAATGCCCATAAACATGTCCCCTTATTTGTAGAATTGTTATTTTCATGTCTTTGTTTCTTTGCTTGATTCTGTATTTGGGGATTTTTTTTTTTCAGGTTACATTGGGTCCTTCTAGATCTCACTCTGCAGACGGTCAGCTGTTCCCTAGGCAAGGAAATGCTAAAACTGGAGCTCCCCAGATATCTGACAGTACCATCTTGCCTGCAGCCAATTTTGACACACCACCTGGGCTTTCCTCTTGCTTGGATAATTCTGCTGCTAAACACAAACTTTTAATAAAACCCAGGAACCAGAGATCCAGTAAAATGAGAAGATTTTCTCAGGTACTTCTGAAAATAAACTGTCACTTTTGAGACAAAACCAGGAGGTTCTTAGTGGACTTCGTATTTCAAAGTCAGATATGATAAGAAAAGTCAGACTGCGGCATGGGTATGTCATTGAGTTTTGATAGCTGTTATTTGATGAGGCTACGTATGTGGAGAAGACACTAGGAACAGATTAAATATTATGAGTTTACTTGTTAATTCTTGATGCAGCATTTATGTATCAGTTTCTTCTTAAATTCACCATGCAGTACAATTTAGTATCTTGTTTGTGATGCAGAAGTTGCAGCTGACTGCTTCTTAAAAACTTACTTAAAAACAGTTTTTTGGAAAGTGTTGTGATCAACTTGTGTACTTTCCCTAGTCTGAAAGATCCTGTAAAATCTTGAGTCTTTGAGAGAGTATTGATGGAGGAGCTGTTTTAACTTTCCAAATATAATTGGGCTTGTATTTTCAAAAATTTCAGAAAGAGTAAGTTATGACCTATTAGTTGGAGACAAATTCTGTACATTTTAACTGTTCTGAATTCAACCCTCTACCTGGCCCAAAACTTGTAAACCATTTATGTGCACTACAGAGGCTTAAAATAAATAAAAAAAAAAAAAAAAAAAAAGTTGTATTCTATTAAAAAACGATTTAAAAGTATACTATTTAAAAAAAAAAAAATTAAAACCATCCCTTTGAAACAACATTTATCTGATTCTTTGTCATATCTTACGAAAGGCATAGCTTAATTCTTCTGCCTTCTCTTTTTAGAACTAAAGTTTGCAGATCTTACTACAGTATTTGCACCTTATTTTTTGTGTTTTCTTTCAATATTTTAAATACTTTAAAGCCATTAAATTGGCTTGCTCAATACCAGGAATATTATTCCCTCTGTCTCTAAATATTACTTAGCTGATACTCTGTATTTTCCAAAATTTGTGAGTGATCTTTGGGCTCAGTAGAGCACTGCTGCAAGCAACACAGTGATAAGGCCAGTTATTTAGAAAAGCATGTAAAGCAATAAGTCACTGATCAAGCCTCCTCTTCCATTGTAACACTGTTACTGAAATACAATTGCTTTGTCTAGTCTGCCTATGAACTGCCAGATGACTGAGCCCTCCTGGTTTTCCATGGAGAGCATTCACATCTTTCGATAACACAATTTTTAATGTTTTCCTGCCTGACTCTGCCTGTGCACCTTGCTTCTGGCTAACTGATGTCTTCTGCTTTTATATTTCTGTGTGTATGGACTGTGAGTGCAGGTGGCATTGCATCTCTGTCTTTGCAATTGCACATGCAAAACAAGAAGTTGGAAGAACCCTGAAAGTATCTTCAGAGTGCAAGTTTTTTCTTCTTAGAATTAGGGCCTGCATCCAAAATAGGTATTTACCCAACAAACTACAGTGAATCAGTGAGCTAATACAGACAACATATGAAAAGGCATATGAAAAGTTTAACAATGTGCTTTCAAATAATCCTGTATATTTAGCCAGTCCTTACCCATAGCTTAATCACAAGACCTCACAGATGCATTTATAAACTTTTATCAAATAGTCTCACTCTTGAAAGAAAAAGAAGACTTTTACACAAAGGAGGCAAGGCTGTAGTGCTGTATGGCAGTGGGATTAGGCAGAAGACTGCCATATGGGGGTAGATACTCAGCTGGCATAGAGTGTCATAACCGGATGGACTTCTTAGGTTTTTGCTCTCCCTTCTGTGTACCCTTCCCCCTTTAGAGTCATGCAAGAATGGGTTGTTTTATTTTTAATGCTAGTATGCAGTAGCAAGATACAAAGGGACAGATTTTTCTCTTTCAAGTGCTGCTTTTTGCCCAAGAGCAACACAACATATCCAGTATGCTCTGGTGAGTCAAGTGCCAAGGACGGTCCAATGGCCATTGTTTTGCTGAACTTCCCATCTACAAAGTCATGAAAGCACTAGTTGTGCAGAAGGAAGTGTCACTGATTGCTTTTATGTTGGTTAAATATGTTATTCCAGGATCTGCTTAGATAAAAACGTATCCCATATGTAAGGCTACAAAACCAGCGAGCTCAGCATTGGAGGAAAGTATTGCCTTCCTCTCTAAGATCTTGGTTGTAAATGCAGTGATGAATAAGAAAAAAAGCAAATCTGTACATGGTGATGGAGCTGTCTGAATTAATTTCTTGCAGAGGACCCAGTCTGAATCTCTGACTGATTTGAGCTGTACCCCAGAAGAAGAAGAGGATGATGAAAAGGAGATGCAGACAGACTTGCCAGATGCTGTATTCAAACCCAGCGATCAAGAACTGCCATGTGGCGCAGCTGCAGCGCAGGAGGTGGCTTCCTGGCCGAAGCCCAGAATGCCTGAGGACCTTCCCCCTGCTTTGAGACCAGCAATGACTCAGCCTGCTTCTGAGTCTGCTGTTGTACAGGAAGCCCTGCTACCAGGGAATAAACCGGAGGGCTGCCAACCAACACTGGAAACAACGTGTGTGAAGTCTGAGTCCTCACTGATGTTAGAAGGCAAAGACTCTGCAACTTCTTCCTACTCCAGTCCAGAAAGAGATGTACAAAAGCAAGAAGGTTCCTTAGAAGCATCCAATCTGTTGTCTGGGGATGTGAGTGATGTGTCAATCAATATTTTAAATCAAGAAAATAAGGAGCTTCCACCCATGTTTTCAGTAAGTAAAATACCATCTAAAGAAGATACTTTGATTAGTAAGAATAGTACTGTTTGTTTGGAAGGGTCAGAAGAAAATATACAGCAGGATGATCAGATACCTGCCAAAATGCCCTGTAATAAACAGGCTAAGAAAGAGGTTGCTCTATTGTCAGAGTCCAGCAAGCAATTTTCCATAGGTTCTTTCCAGCCCATGGACTTGTTCCATGTTTCACGTCCTGCTTCCTCAACACAGATGGGATCATCTGCTTCCTGCTCTCTAGAGAAAACAAAGACTGCACAAGAGGCAGCTGCCTCTGGTAAGGAGAACAGTCAGTCACTGCTCCACAAGGAGGAACTTTTGAGGAAGAAAGCTGAAAAAGCAGCCAACGAACTCAATGCCTTGAGAAAGTTTTCTGTCTCTTCTGCACGGGAGAGACCAAGGACCAGAAGCCTACACTTCCCAGAAAGATCAGAGCTGGAAAACCCATTAAATACCGGATTCTTCCTGTCCAAAGCAAAGGTCTCCTCAAGAAATGAGAAGTGGAAAGAAGACTTGCAGAAGGGATCAGATCTGGAGGAGGAAAAAAGTAGCAAGAAAAATCAGGCTTTGTTTCCAGAGTCCGACATTGAGAACACAGGTCAACCTACAGAAATTTTGGCTGGCTCTGTTTCTCCAGCTGTCGATGTGGTGCCAGTGCCAAGTGATTCTTCTGTGATATCTCACAATCAGCCAAGCTGTGAAGATATAAGTCCTTTTCAAGTGAAACTTAGATCCACCTCACTGTCCTTGAAATATAGAGACAACTTGTCACCAGAATCAAAAGGGATTAAAAGATACAGTGCAGAGTTTAATTTAGAAAATGAGGGATTGACTTCCTTTCTAAAAGGTGATAAGGCACAGATCAAAAAAACAGCCAATACAAATATTGGTGATTCTTTAAATGAAAAGATCAAACCCAAAGCAAAATCCTCTGAACAGCTTAGTAGCAAACCTCCATTGCCTAAAAAGCCAGCCTTGCAAAACATAACCATTCCAAATTCTACTGTAAACAAGGAGAAGCAGGACAAAGCTATTCACTCTCCTGAATCCAGAAATGAAGATAGAGACTTGGAGCAAAAGTCAAATCCTTGTAAAGTGCCCGGTAAGACTCCCAATACTTTATAATGAAGTTACCTTAACTGGCAAGGAATAACCTTACCTGTGAGAGAGTGTGAGGCAGCCCTGTCATGTTAATCACAGAGCTGGTGAGCGCGAGCTTACGGCTCTGCCTTCAGCGATGTTGCTCCCTGATTCTCCCTTGCTGAAGAGATTATTAGAAGGACAGCAGGGAAGAAGCAGCAGACAGAATAAGATATTTTTGCCTGTGATTTTTGCATTTCAAGGTATTGTTTAAAGGATGTTCAAAGTGACACTCAAAAAGTAAAGTGCATTAGCAGGTATTGTGAAACAGAAATATCAAGCCACTAAGTGTCCCCATTTAGAGCTGCTGTATGGCAACTCAAAAGCCAGGAGCACACATTAAGTGCAGTGCCCTGCGTGGGACGAGTGACTCAGACCTCTAGACCTTCTTTTTCACCATAGAATTGAGGCAGAAACAGTAGTAACTGCCTGGCATGCTCAACATGCCATTTATTTATTGTCTCCTGTGAGCTTTGCTTATTCATTTTCCATCTTTATCATTACTCATTCCTTGTTTAAAAACAGAAATTAGCTACCCTGCAGCTTCCTGGAGTTTAAAGCTAGGATAGACCACAAGACTGTGTCTACTGCAGATTTTAAAATTTCACCTTATTGCCTGTATTATATAATTGGGTTAAAGTTTAAAAGAAAAAAAAATCAGTCCTCTGGAGACTAATACATTGTGTACAACAGGCAGAGAACAGAAAAGACTAGAAGTGGCACCACTGTCTGAGGTCTTTGCAACAACAGTAAACAAGTTAGGTGAAGTACACTCAAGTAGCTGGAGGAGGAGACCTCTGCTCTTCACTTCAGACAACAGAGAACAGAAAACGGGAGAAAAATCTTTAGGTCTTCTGATATGTGGGAGAAACTTCTTCCCTGCCCTGAATCTATCTGGTCACGAGTTTGATGTTAAGAATGTGAGGAGGAGAGGGGGCCAAGCAGATGAAAAGGTTTCTTTGTGCCATTGCAGAGCTCCCCTCCATGGTGGCTCTTCTCCAGTTGGGGTCAGTGTCTGGACTTCAGAGTGGGGGAACACCAAGCCAAAAGAAGACCTCAGGACACATCCTACAGTTGTCCTGTAGAGTGACAAAAGCCTCTTCCTCTCCCCAGGGGCAACCTGCTGACACCCTGAGTGACAGCAGATTCCAGTTGTCATCTGCTGCAGTATTACAGACATTTTTGCAGGGCTCTGGCCACATTTACAGTTTTCTGCTCTTCCAGTGGCCTTAAAGGAGGGGGTTCATTGCCCCCACAGCTGGACAAGGCTATCACAGCTGTCTGTCCAGAGCCTCCCTGCATCCTGTGGGCAAGACACTTTCCCTTTGTATAATTCCAGTGCCCCCTTTAAAGGCATTTTCCCCTCTGCCCTGCCCTGAGGAGTAGTTGATTATTTGTAGTGACACCCAGATTTCTGATCGTTTGAGATTTTTGGGAGGGTCATACCCTGAACAAGTGAGGAGGAAACTTAGCATGGTAGGGTTGATCTGGCAGAGGACAGAGGAAAGAGGAAAGCAGTGGCAGTACCCGTGCTCCTGCTCAGTCTTTCTTCACATCCCTCTTGCTGAGTCCCAGGGTGCCTGCAGAGGGAGTGGGGCTGGAGACAGTGGGTGCTGGAGAAGGGAGAAGGGGAAGAAATGGAGCTGGGGAGCACGTTTGTCCTCCAGGGTTCTCCTCTGTCTCTTCAACCCTGGGGTGAAGGACACTCCTGTCCCCAGGATCAGGATTGTCCTCTGCAAAATAGAGTCTGCGGGTGAGAGCTGTGCCCTGGTGACCCTGGCAGGGATGCACACACCTGGAATTTGACCCTAGGGCTGCAGGTTGAGGAGCCCTGTTTTGGACATGTTCCTCTCCACCCAACAGTGTTACACCAAATCTGTACGGCCTAGGGTTGTATAACACAGTGGTTCAGAGTGGTCTGTGCTGGTAATTAGTCTTCTTCCTTACCTGCTGCCCCACTGATCTTACTGTATCACCTTAAGCAAAGCTGCTATGGTTTTCCATGTATTTCCAGCTTTGAGTTGCTTGGTAATGGGTTCTGATGTGTGGGCATGCCAGGATTCTTGAGTTTAATTCTAAACAAAAAGCAGTCTGCTCCAAACTGACCTGAGGTCCTTCCTACCCCACTGCAGACCTTTCTTCTTGGACACCCAACCAAGCACCTCCTTGTGCTAAGTTGCCACATCAACCTGAGCTGGCTGCCTCAAGTCATGGGTGAACGAGGTGTGCCCACCTCCTCTGATTGCCCTCGCACCACACCAACCTTGGTGGGGAGATTTACACAGTGACCCCAAATGTGATGCCCCTCCGTGAAGCATAGCAGAGCCACAGGATGCAGTGAGGGCTTAGCAGAGCAATACCCCTGCCCAGACATAATTTTAAGCCTTCGAAATGTTTGCCTCGGCCCAGTGAGTTGGGAGCACGTCTGCAACTGCAAGCAGGAGAGATCTGACAAGCACGATCAGCATGACCCTTGGTGGATCGCATGGCTTACCAGCTGTCTCCAGCCCCCTGATCTGCTGGGACACCCACTTCTTATTTTTATCCAACCACCCTTAATTCTGACAACCCACGCCTCTCCTAGTCCTTGAGTTTATCAGCCCTTTTTAAAAGCTGTGGTCACTGTCGGGAGGCACTTTATGTTATCAGGGAGTTTCTTCCCACTGTGTGTTAGGAAATCCCTGCACTGAACAAGAAGACAAATGGTGAAATGGTGATGTAAGGGGGTGCAGTTCCCTTCTCATGTACACTCATCTCAAAAAAGTCAGTTTGCTATGTCATGGGATGAGCAGGAGCAATGTTGTTCATTCAGTTCAATTTTTAGCTTTTCATCACTCCTGTACCAAAGGCAACAGGAGGGCTGGTAGGATGCTGGCTTTCCACCCTGAGTGAAAGCAGCACCCCTGCTCTCCAGTTTCTGGGGAACAAGCAGGGGATTGCTTGGTCTCTGTCAGGCTGAAAGGTGGCTCTTTAATGGCTGTGTGAAATTAGTCACCCCAGGAGGAGCAATTTCTAAGTTTCTGGAGCTAAAGGCACAAGTCTTTGCAAGAATTAAAAGGTTAAGCTAGATTGTTTGGGGTTGATACATTTTGCTATAAATCCTGTGAAGGGTAGAAACAATTAACATACACTAACAGGTTATTACAAGAGCAAAATTGTAAGCAATACCTGTGTGAATGTGCATATTAGGATATATAAAAATCAGTGACTAAGGAGCTGTAGTGCATTGTATATATGTAGAGCAGTGAATGAAATTGGTGTGTGAATGAAATTGGTGTGTATTGTCTGGCAAATACAGGTTCTGAAATGACAAGAAAAATGTTTCTCTCTACATAAAAAAAGACATTGCTTTAATGCTGTCCTGGCTACAGTGGAAAAGAAAGCTGTCTTTTTTTTTTTTTTTTTTTTCCCCAAAGAAGTTGCTTTTTCGGTTGTGTCAGACTGTTTTGCAATATGGCTGTTTTCCAGCAGTGAAATAGACTTTGATGCAAACATAGCAGTTTTTTTGTGTAAAAAAGACTCTCCTGACATAGGTGCTATAGATCCAACCAAAAGTCATATGCCTTGCAGAGCAGCTTAGAGAAGAAAGAAATGTCAGCAGTACTCAGCCAAATGTTTTAGAATAGCTTTGTCTGAATTTAAGGAATTGGGTGTGTCCACTGACACAAATGCATGTAGTATTTTAATAAACAAAGGGAAATATATAGGCCAGGATAGACTGAACTCCATATGTGTTTGTAAAGACTTTCTTAAAATAACTCGTGTTTCATAAATGAGCAAAGGTACAACAGTGTGGAATTAAATATGCATGCATAAGCAGTGTTATAAAAAAATGACACTTGTATACAGGGGGTGTTATCTCCCTATGTAAAGTTGTTTGGATTAGTTGGAGTATGTTTGCTTTTCAAATACGTAGGGAATCCACAAGTTAGCTTTGCTTGCTGTTAGAGGTATGACTTTCAAAAGGCTCTAATATTCTGCCTCTGACCTTTTTCCTGCACACATGTATGTAAAGACAAGCCACCCTTTGCAGTCCTTGCAGCCATAAGATGTTCATTTTCAGGTATGAAATTTAAACATTATAAAGAGCCTCTGCTCTTCAGTTGCTCTGCAACTAAATGTGTGCTTATTACATTTGCAAGTATTACCACGCTGGAAAGTCTTTGTGAGCACAAAGGCTTTTAGATTTAAAGAAAACAGGTACAGTATCTGAGGCCATCTCTAAAAAAATAAATCCTTAAATCTCAGGTGTGATGTTTAAATATGTCTTCGCTGTAGTTATCCATATAAGGAGCACACACACCCCCAGATACACTTGAATACACTGAGTATATCTGTCTGTCAATACACAGAAATAGGTATGTATTTCTCTCTCACTTTCTCTGTGTGTGTATAAACCAGTGCACAATAACAAGTCAATCACAGATCTCCTTTTGTACATAAAGATTCATGTTTTATCTTCATCTTACTGTTCACACAACCAGTCTGACACACATTAAAGGGTAATATCCAGCTATTAATGAGAAGTGTACACATTCATTTCCACAATATGTAGGCAGAAGAAATTTCATCTTTAAGATCAGAGCTTTAGTCTGAGGAACAAAAATAGGCTGCTTTAGTAAGATACTGAAGGAGACAGATGCCTGCACTTAATGGAGCTAGAGCAGGGGAATTTCCCCCCTTAGGGACCACTGAGGCAGCCAGCCCTGCTGCGGTCAGACCCAGTGGAGAAGAGCTTGGGTGATTCTGATCTGCAGGAGGGAATTGAGAAGGCTATGGTTCGCCTGGCTTCAGGACTTATCCTCGGTGGTCAGTCTGGAAGCTGTAAAAGTGATGAAGAAAGCAGACAGAGTGGCAGGTCTTGTGACTGTCCATGTGTGTTTGGTGGCTGGGGAAAAGAAGGGAAGGGAGGGCTTCAGCAGCCTCTCTTCAGCAGAAGACCTTGGCAGCCTACATTAAATG